GAGAGAGAGAGAGAGAGAGAGAGAGAGAGAGAGAGAGAGAGAGAGAGAGAGAGAGAGAGAGAGAGAGAGAGGGAGCTGGAGCTGAGTAGGACGGTTGGTGTACTTCGTCGTCCATGTAAGTAGAAAATACAAAGCTGAAAATGAGCTCCCCCAAGAATTTGACTTGATATGGAGGATGGCCAATCTGCAGGGCGAAGAGGAGTGCAAGAGAAAAAAAAGGAGGGAAGAGGAGGACTAGGAGAAGAATGAGGGAATCGAGGAAAGACAAAGGGGAGTGCGAGAGTCGTCATGATGGGGGATGGTGAACATGGCAAGGAGGAAGAAGTTGAAAGAGAAGGATGGTGAATGGGCTGAGGAGAAAGAGCACGAACGAGAAGCTCAGCAGTCACATCTGTAGTAGCAGTCGCAGTAGCAGTAGGTGCAGGAGAAGGCATCAAACCATGAGTTTACTGAGAATGGTTGTCGTTTAGGAAGGTCAGTAGCCAGAATAGGAGGATGGGCAAGAGTGCAAAGCTGTAAGAAGGGAAGAGATTGTGAGAAGCCGTCAAAGTTTGGAATATGCATAAGATAAAAGGGCTGAGCACAATCATGGGGATGTGGTCGACCTCATTGTTTTCCGTATCAGTAGTACGGTCGTTCAGTTGCTGTCATGTCATTGTTTTGGCAACCATCCAATCTGCTGTGTCAGGAAATGTACTGCCTATGATGGGAAAATGCTATATGTGTAATTGGCAATCACTACTGTTAATTGGGCACTTCAAATCATGTATCTAATCTGGTTGACACTTGGTGGTCTTATGTTTTGTGCAATAAAACAGAATGCTTGCTACCTCTGGCACTCCAAATCATGTAGCTGACCTGGTTAAGAATTTTTTTTTTGGGGGGGTGGTTTGTGCAATAACGCAGAATGCTTGCTGCAGCAGAGTGTGTGGACCTCAAGTGTTGACGAGTACATCAGGTGGCTGGAGTCTGTATCTTTTGCTGGCGGATCTGTTGGAGGGGCATCTATCACTGAAGGGCTGGCTGAGGCGCTATCGGTGAGTGATCTTGGCTCCCCTGTTTCGGCATAGCTTGTCAGTTGCCATGCCATACCCCGTTGGTGGCTATGCATGGTGTAGCTACCATCCCGCTTGTGCCATGCCATGCATTTCATCCAGGCATGCATTGGCCTTTACATTAACAAGTGGACCGGGCCACGGCTACGCACAACAACGCTCGCTGATGGCGTCTTATTTTTGTTTCATGTCTCTCTCTCGTCTCTCTCTCTCTCTCTCTCTCTCTCTCTCTCTCTCTCTCTCTCTCTCTCTCTCTCTCTCTCTCTCTCTCTCT